CCTTACTGCTTTGGATCATAGTTTGGCTTGATTCTTAGAAAGCATTCAATGGATAAAAGCGTGTGGCCAATAACGATACGCTTTGAGTTTCTCTAGCAGCTGAGATTTCAACTCGGCGAATGGTAGTTCATTTTGAATAAGGGGTATAGGGGTATTTTCTCCTAGATGACTAGATGGGTTGAAAAGAAGAAGTGATTGACATGATTACAAATGTAAATGTAAATGTAAATATAAATATAAATATAAATATAAATATAAATATAAATATAAATATAAATATAAATATAAATATAAATATAAATATAAATATAAATATAATATAAATATAAATATAAATATAAATATAAATATAAATATAAATATAAATATAAATATAAATATAAATATAAATATAAATATAAATATAAATATAAATATAAATATAAATATAAATATAAATATAAATATAAATATAAATATAAATATAAATATAAATATAAATATAAATATAATATAAATATAAATATAAATATAAATATAAATATAAATATTGCGCCCTTCGAACATCCATGGACATGACAATGTTATACAATACTTGATGATGTTTGAAGATAACCTTGAACTGAACAAGGTTACTTACATTACAAGGTCAGAGCTTCTGCACTCTTTGTCAGTCTCTTTTGGGTTACATAAGCGAAAGAAGGATTTCCGGATTTAAGGACTTGGCATCCTTTATTTCCTTATATCCTGTGATAGTCGGCTCTTGAGTCGGCTCTTCAAGCGGCCGACTACTTCCTGATCGGCCGCAATAGCCGACCATGACACGGATCCTTGAGCAACCCAACCCTTGATTTTGACGGAGGCATCTCCGCTCTCGTTACCTACCCAGGTCGTATATAAAACATAAAACCCATAATCTCGTGGTCACATCCTATTCGATTATTATATCTCCATTTATTCTTCATTCCCATTCTCTCGAGGAGGCTCTTCTGGTATTGTGAAGGCTCACGATGCCATGAAACTCCCATCACTCAATCAATTCCAGAAAAGATATCAAACCGCTGACGGGCTTAAGAAGCATGAGTATTATCATCGACCAATATTGTGGCTTTGAGGGCGCAGAGCTTCCATCCAATCCCATCAAGACTTTCCCCCATGTTTATCGCGATGATGACTTTCTTTCTGCAGGATGACAAATCCCTGTAATTTCCCCATGATATGTACCCGTCAATCTGGGCGCAACCATGATAATCGAGTTTTCCTCCCACTTTTGACGGCATTGATCGGTGGATCCAACAATGGCTATTTCTGCGAAGGACATGGAGGGCGAGCGATTCAATGAATGATCTCATGGGACTGATTCTCAGAGAAGGTAAAACAGCGTTGATAGGCCTGTTGGAGAATTCAAGTGGCTTATTCACGATTTTTGACTTTATCTTAACCTTACCAAATTACCGACTTACGATCTCAACAGGAGAAGAATTGATAACTATCAGCAAAAGTATAAAGAGCAGTTCTCACTTAACTGACAATATAATTCAGTACACTTCGTCTCAATCCAAAAGCCAGATGCATGAAACAAGGAGGTGGTTGTTGGCATGACTCGCGCCGAAGCAAATGAGAGACGATGTTTACTGCGGCATAAGACTCCCTGTGATTTCGGTGCCGAAGTCACATTACATAGGTAACTCCTCATAAATATCGATTAATGTGAGAGTACACAATGCTGCGGACAAATAAAGAGAGTGCCGAGAGTCTAGTCGATTATCTTTGAAGTACAACTCTTAATATCTACCTAGTAGTCAGATACGCGGAATTTTGAGCATATGAACAGTGGATTTCGATTGGGAGTGTAGAATATTCACAACAACCTGAGCGGTTGAAGCGTGTTATGTTGATTGAAAGAACTCCCATTTTACACTGATATTCAAGTCTGATTATTGGAAATCCTAGTGGTATTACCTGGCAAAGGGTAGTCAGGCAACGTCCCCAACACTCCACGACTTGTTTTCCCATTTCTTTTCTGTAAGATATATATCCTGCCTGGGTACTAGGTATGTGTAAAGGGAACCAGCTTAGCGGCATCAGAGAGACACACTTCGGCATTTAAACCTCTCGTACCTACCTCCAAAGTCTACGAGAGACGGAATTCCATCCATCGATAATGGCCAGGTAATACGTACACCAATTATCAAACTCACTTGTGAACGCCTAACCTTTAGTCATGATATTATGATGACAAAAGGAATTCAATGTCCATCTCATCACTAAACTTCTCTATTACAAAATCCGAAATATTGAAATATAAAATTGGGCCTCTGCGAAGCCCTCGACAAAATGTGGCGTGGAAACCCACGATGTGAGCAAGACCAAGTACAAATTCTAAGAAAGATGATGATAAGGCATATGTATTCGAAAACACACAGTCTCGCGAGAAGTATTTGCTTCACAAATTTCCAAAAGTGCGTTTTCAAATCTCCTGCATCGAGAGATCAGCAAGGGAGGCGTTTCAACTCAAATATATGCACATTCATATCCAAATCTTTCTCAAATACACATAAGAGATAAAATGTCATTTTGAAATCCTCCAATTTAGCCTCCACAAAAGCAAAATGGAAAGAACCTGCAGGAGACGAATTCCCCCCCTATTGAAATTCGATATCTTGTAAGATTACAAAGCATATAGAATGAAAAACAATGTATAAAAAATGCAGTAATCACACAGAAGCAGAGTTTGAGTATGATTCTCAGTGGGAATGGTAATTGTGTACATGACCCAAGATAGATCTCATACACTTCCCTAGATTTCATAGCCCAGGAACAAGAAGCAGATAATCATCCCCCTTCCTCTGTGAAAAACATCTATCATCTCTAACCCCCCCACCACCGATACCATACATATAGTCAGTCACCTATCTATTCCCTCATAAAAAATCAGAATTGGTCTTCATACCAAACCATACCAAACCAAACCAAATTAACATCCACCCTCCCGTCTCCAACCATCCCATCCCATTTCCCACACAAGCCCAACCTTCTCCCAACAAGTACTCTCCACAACAAACCCCTATATCCAACTGCGTCCCAATCTCCAACTTCGATATAAAACACATAGTATTTTCTCCAAAGAGTCCAGAAAATATTCAAATACTTCCAACTTCCAAGAACCATAACTCCAAGAACCATACCTCTACACAACAAAAAGCAAATCCATCCGATACACATAATCACCAAGAGACGTACTCCTAATCAAAGCTCTCTAGCTTGTATATAAAAATAGATTACTTATTTTCCATATTTTGTTTATTTATCATGATGGGTGTAAGATTACTTAATATCCTATGAACTAGAATCTCGAAAATGTAAAGATGAGGGAGGTGATATGCTTAGTATCCGTAAACAGAAATTTTAATATAAAGACATCGATAGGGATACACACATATAAAAAAATTCCTCCCCAAAACTCCCCTCCCCCCCAAAAAGCCAATCCAATCTTACACATCCACCCAAGCAATCCAACACCCCTCGATTTCATAAAATCCCCTACCTAACCCATCAAATTCACGAGTCACAGACCTATACACATACATAAATACCCATCTACACCCTTCCTGAGAATATATCTCCATACGGCATACATCGACGAGCTATCTATCTATCTATCCAGAGACAGTGAGGGATTGTATTTTCTTTATCTTTTTTTGTATACATACCTACTATCGATGTCGATGTCGATGTCGATATCTGTATCTACATCTATATCGATATTACAACCCCCGTTTAAACTTTATATTACATCAACTCTCGACCATTCCACATATATATATATATATATTCCAAATCTATATTCTCATCTCATCTCACTCACATCATAAATATCATATCATAACACCGCTCACCCAAATTCCCCCGCAAATAAGATGTAAAATCCACCCCCATCCCCATCCATCCATCCTCATCCATCCACATCTCCCCAGAATCTACTCCCCCCTCCCCCTCTTCCCAAAAACCTCAACTCCGTTTCTTTACTCCCCTCATCCATCCACCCATCCCTCCAACCCCAAAAAACCCAACCCCCAAAACACAACCCCCATCTAAACTCCAACCCAACCCCAAAAGCCTCCACCAACCCCCTCATCTCATCACGCCAAACAAATCCCATCTTCTCAATATCTTATATTCCAAACTCCCGTGCATCCCCTCCACATCTATTTTCTCAGCTATTCAATTCCCATTCCTCATTCCATATTTCCCACATCCCACTTCTCACCCACCCAGTTCTCTCTACCTCTACCTCTCCCTCTCTCTCCCCCAAAGAAATAGAAATAAAAAAAATCCATCAATTCCACTCCCCGCGATTCCCCCTCACCCCATCAAGACCGCTCTCACTCCACGCTCCAACTCAAGCTTTTCCCCGTCCAAAACTGACACAATCAAAATCACACATCCCTTCCCCCCTCACCTTCTCCATCTCTAACCCCCCCAAGAAGAAATCCACCAAATCACCACCAAAAAGTTAAGCGCCCAACCCCCCCCTCCCCCATCCCTCATCCCCTCATTCCCCAGTTCCCCAGTACCCCAGCGCTCCGCACCACCCATCCCATCCCATCCCAGCCCATCCCAGCCGCGCCCCGCCCCAGCCCCGACCCTCAAAACAAGCGCAACTATAACATTAACGCCAGGGCTATACTTTTCCTCCCATCCCGTTTCATCCCATTCCAAAGCACTCTCTACTCCCCATCCCACCATCCCTCTATCCACCCACCCGCCCCTCAAACTAACCACACATCCCCAAAAAATTCCATTCCCTCTTTCCAGTACATCCTCATTTCCTCTATTCTATAGGTACACACTAATAAACCAATCCATCAGCCCCCGCCCATTTCAACTATCCATACCTACATATTAAATCACACAATTACACACACACACGCCACACAAAAATCTACATACCAAACACAACATTACATAAGGGCATCCACCACCAATACAATTCCCATCATCCTCTGTAAACTTAACAACAAATAAACCCACCATTCCATTCCGTCACACAAACAAATCTATTTCTCCATTTCTCCACTTCCTTCTAATAGGTTCTTATATGCGATAGGCATGTTGACACTACAAATACGTACCGGAACGGTTATATGTGTAGGTATATATGTATATATACATGATAGATCGATCGATAGATAGATAGATAGATAAGAATACATATTTACAAAGTCGAGTAAGTACATAAAAGTACATAAGTATGGGGAAGTAGGTAAGCAGATGTAAATAGATCGATAGATCGATACATAGATGGGGATACAATAATTTCCTCCAGCGTAGTAGCCAAAAGGAGAGAGATAAAAAAAGATTAATCGGATGTATAGATCCGTCTTTTCATTCATCCATTCGTCCATTGCTGCCACCCATCTATCCATTCGTCCATTCATCTTTTCAAATCAAATCCCGATCCCATCCACGCCAGATTCTATGCATGCACGTGCGGTAGGTATATGCTGTTGGAATTCCAAATCATCTTCAACAAACATTGGGGAAAAAAAACTGCAAAAGGGATATCATCAAAAATAAATGAAAATCGATATGCAATGCTTATGCTGATATTTGTAGAAAAATTGAACAAAACCCACGTGACGAAAAAAACCAACAAATGAATCAACCCATCCAAATGGAAGGAGAAAGTAAAAACATAAAATGCATTGGGGTATAATCGTTAAAAAGCTGCAGACGAATCCAAAAGTAGGGCCGTGCTAATCGTCTACTTCTAACCGTTTACCCAGTGTCCACCAACTGAGAAGTTCATCCAATCCTTCTAAACTTTTCAATACTGAATACGGAAATTGTAACTTTTTTTATATTAAAAAATGCTGAGGAAGAAGCGTGAGAAGAGGAAGTAAGCAAGCGTATGTATGTGTATGATGTGTATGTGTTTGTGCACATTTATTGATGTTCCGTGCGTCGGCTGCGCTCTCATTGTTGGCTCTCGCTACCATATCTCGGATCTATAATGATGGGACAAAATTGACCAATCAATTGTTCTTTCTCATCCGTTGAAATTAAAAAATGTAACCTTCATGAGTTGTGCAACGGCCAGCACATTCATTTCCTCATTTTCCACCATACAACCGACACGTCAGAAACCACAGGTAATTTGGTATTTTAAATTACCAAATTCTGTAGCATGCAGTCCAAGAATTGTCGGGTTCATGTCGTGCTGCGCCTCTCAATTTTACCAAGGCTTCGTGTAACCCATTTCCATTACGCTTTAGGCAAGCTTGACCCGAAATCTTGGGAGCAACAGTCTGCTGTGTTTGTACTCGGGCCAATCCATGATTATGCCCGCCACACTTCGTATACGCTTCGGTCCGCCCCTTCCCTTGAATATCCTATAAGAATTGAGGTATAGATTGCCACCCACACTTCGCCGTCCTCTCAGATGATCCTTTGCGGATGTACCTAGCATTTTCGGTCAATCAGCCGTGGGTACATTGAATCCCCAACAACTCTCAATGACGATCCGTATTCTTGCAGGCGCTTAAGGTGCATATAATATGCGCGCGCATCCAACAATAATGCGCATAAAGTACCATCCCATAAAATTCATTCATCATCCGTCCTAGCCTCAAAAGCGCGCCAGGCCGAAAGGCAAGGTTCGGTATGAAAAGATGGACCACAACCCTGGTTGAAATTGATCGCAATATCCGAAAAAAAACTTAAAGTTCGCCGATCCAAAACCAAATTGACCAATCGGTCTTCGTTTGTAATTTCCAACCTCTTGAAACCTCAAAGACGTCTATGAAGGGGGTTTGACCGGTGCGCGTGCAGTCCATACATGCCTGGATTATAAATGAGTTAGTAAACTCTTAATACCTAGGTACTCTCAATGAGGCAGTGCAATGTCGAATTGAGAGTTCGAATCGAGTTATTTAGTCTTTCAAAATCGCCCAGGTGAACCCTTGACAGATCTGAATATGAGGGAGAATACTCACAAATTATTATAAGCGCGGATTTTCCTATTGCAAATATCTCTCCTCACTTCTGTAATCAGCCTTGTGACATCATCTTTCGACCACCCGTATATTCTGTGCATGGGCCCAAGCGTCATTGCTTCCAGTCCCTGGGTGAGGGCCAGATTGTACCATCTTGCAACGTCCTTTTCTTGTGGATCATCGGGCCATGGATTAAGGGGAATTCGTATCACTTCTTCTTGAATATCGAGGAACTCTTCTTTCTGAAGCATTGCTCGAATCTCCGTATTATAAGCTAGAGGTCGAAAATTGCGCCGAGTAGCTTCGAAAAGGTTCCGCGCCCATGTAGCCAGCGCCGAGTCGGCTGGAATGTCCCCAAAATCTGAGCGAGGAGTAAAATCTATTTCAACCTGCTCGAAACGGCCCACCTGAGGCTTGAGATACCTTACCAGATTGTATTAGGTAAAGTCATGTATTGTAGAAGGGGATGTGAGATGGGGAAGCCTTACCTGCGGACCTTTTGGTATAATGCAGGCCAGCTATTGATGCTCCCGGAAAGCATCCGTATATGAACCATATCCCACGACTCAACTTCGAGTCCCCACCAAGGCGATTCTATATCTCTTTGTAAAAACTGTAAATTTTCGGGAATACTGGAGTGATACTTAGTATGTGACATTGCTCGGAAGGAAAGATTCGTGAATTCTTACGTTGGAGGTTGTATTCTAGCTAGGTCAAGCCCGAGAACTTCACCTGTACCCATATCTGAACCATATTTGCTATATACCGAAGTTGTCAGTCCCTTGGTTTCGCAGACTTATGGCCTCAAATGAGACAAAATCTTATTCTTACTCGGCCATATCAATCGCCCATATTCCGGTGCCTGTCCCTAAGTCCAGAATTCGTGGCCCATCGTAATTATTCGTAAACGTGGTATTCCTAGAGTGTAATGCGCCTCCCATTGCGACTTCGAAAAATTTGTGAAATATATCCATCCGATCTTTCTCATCCTGTGGATGTATATCAGCATTTAGTCGTGTGCAATATCCCACCTAACAACACCTGGCGCATTTACCTCGTCGCAAGGAAACATGTATTTTCCTTTATGTAGTCCATGATACAGGCGTCCATTTTCAATGTAATCGGGCGGGGGCTCTTGGAAAGCCGCAGGAGGGGCAGGAGAAAGTGATCTATGTAATTCAATTCTGTCAGCGCATGCGTAGAATCGGGGATGCAGAGAGCAATAACGGAGAGGATGCAGCCCACAATCTCATTTAGTAGTTTTCGATACAATTGGCATGTGCGAAAGCTTCTGCTGATACCCAGCAAGTGGTTCTGAGAGCAGAGAGGAATGGAGAAAGAAGCACGTACCCATTGTTAGCCATGGCCATTGCAACAACCATAAAGTAAATTCCGGTTCAAGATCTATTGTCGCGAACAGCCTTTGCTTATGCTGCTAACTCTGTAGCATAGATGAAGCTTTTATATGCGATACTAAATTGTTGATGTCGGATTCTTCTTCAGTATGTGCCGGTCGATTGGAAATGTCGAGGGGGTTTCGAATGGGTTATATCGCCATGCAGCCACTATATTACTGGAGTATATCGCCTGTATTCTGCTTCCTGAGCTCCCTGGCTGCTGGCTGACTCTGGTATCCGACCTGAGTAATCTGCTATATGGCTGCGTCTCATGGAAATACAAAAATGGTTCTCGAATGATGTTGATCTAGGTGTTCTAAAGAGGAGCCGCGTGGAACTGTGGTACTGGTGGTAGTAGTGTCAAAACTATGATATGATTGAATTACTTATGGGTTCGTGCTTGTTCTTACTAGTTATTAGTTACCTGGCGGCGGTAAAGCAAGCTATTTTGACTTTTTTTTTGGGGCCCCTGTCGTGCTTCGCCGTAACTGTCTGTAGTAACTTTTTTTTAAAGTTAGGGCGTACAGGTAACGGGTAACGCCCGTGGATAATGATAATGCCAGTGATATATCTCGGCTCTGGGGTTCGAATTCGTAAATTTGATAGGGTTCAAGGGTGGAATTAAGTGTCAATGGCTGATCCAGTGGTTGGCTGTGGTGGTGGGTTGTGGTGGTAAATGGTGGAGAATGGTCGTCAACGGGAGCAAATAGCAGAGACTGGTGACGATGGTGACGATGATTGACGATGATTGACAGGTTGTGAGCTGGATGTTTGGTTGTCAATTGTAGATTTGGTCGTCAATTGTAGATTTGGTTGTCAGTTGTATATTTGGATGTGGATGTGGATTTGGCTGTGATGTGATTATGAAAAGTTCCAAAGTTCTACGAGGTAATAAGGTAGCTAGGAAATGTAGCTCGCTCGCTGTTCTATAATTGAATACTTGGTAGACCCACCAGAGCTCAAAAAGGACAGAGCGCTGGAGATGAGACCACCCGTGGACGAGATGAGATGAGATGAGTGAAAGATTGAGTAAATTCTAGGAAAACAACGACCCTGATTCTTGCAGGCATAAATAGTAAGTCTTGGGGAAGACAATGATCGACAGTTCCCAAATTTTCGAAATCCAATGAGATCCTAACAATCCATATTTTGAATGGTCCTAAGCTCCGGAACAGCTGGGAGAAGTTTCAGAAAGTTCTGTTTTGAAAGAAATATTGGGTCGAGTCGAAGATATGGTCTTGGATTGGTCGGATGTGCGTGTGTCTGGATGTATGGATGGATGGATGGATGGATATATGGATGTATGGATGGATGTATACCTGGATGTATACCTGGGTAGAGATGGAGAGCTTGTTTTGTATTTTTGGTCGCGGTACTTTGCTTCCCATCCCCCACTTCTGCTAGGTGGTATTCCAAAATGGGATTTTTGAGGTGGTATTCCCAAAGTCCTCGAGTAGAAACCTTTTGTACGATCGTTTGCTGAACTATGATCTGTATAGTGTGCAGAGTACAGTGTGCAGTGATTGCAAGGTTACTACTGTCCTGCCTGTCCTGCCTGTCCTGTCCTGTCCTGTCCTGTACTTCAATTATTTCCGTGCGATCGTTGTGTGACACCGCCAACGATGTGTATTGTCCCACGCCTAGATGGCCAATCAAGGAAGAAGGGAACAAGAGGTAGAAGAAGCAATTGATTCTCAACTTCCTCCCCAGAGATTCCTGGAAAGATGTTGGTGCAAGAAAGCGGAGAAATGAATATAAAAAGCGTAATAAATAGTGATGATGGGTGATGCTGGTAGTAGTAGTCGTTATTCGGCAAATGCGTGCTCGGTAGTAAGGAGTGCTAGACGTTTGGATGTCTAGCCAAAGAGTACTTGTGATATCAATCGTGGGGAAAGAAGATGAAAAGATTGAAGCTGCAATTCAATAGACAACGGGGTCTATGGCAATGCATATTTCTGGCTACAATCTTGCACTACTTATAGGGAGGTCGAAGTCATCATCAGTGGGGTTAGAAAAGTCTCCAAAAAAGAAAGATTGATTACTTGATTGGGTATAATGTTGGCAATAGATACATTGTTGGTATTGGTATTTCTTGTTTTGTGTACAACGCTTCACCCCCTCGCTCACTCATGACCAGCACCAGCACCAGCACCACCTCCACCATGCAAACATCTCTTTTCTTAGCTATTATTGTTGTCATTCTAGAGTTTGATACCATGAATACTACCTGTTACCATTGAGAAATTCATGAAGCTTCCGTTTGCCAAACAGAATCTCAACGCCACTCGGTTGCATTTGTACGAGAGGCACAGAGAAGAACGAGTAGCTAGCAAATGCCTACCATACACAAATTGTCAAGGTACAATACAAACTCTACGATTATAGTGGTCTATTAGTATACTGAATATAGTTAAGATATGGGCTATTATATGCAGAATGTATGTTGAGTTCACTGACAAAATTAGAATTGACTTTCTTGATTTAGACCTAAATTACATCGAACAGCTGGCTGCCTGCTGGTCGTCGTTACAGACCTAGGTCGAGGTTTATTGTAAGAGTACTCCTTGGTGACTTATCCAACATCTTTCATCTCAGATTCGTTCCAATTCCCCAATCGGCCATCTCAAATCTATCTTATTCTCCAACGATTTCCCCTCACACCTGATCCCCTACCAGACCTCCCAAGTTCCAAAGCTACATCATATCCTAGATTACAAGCATCAAGCTATATCATTTCGTTCCATGTTCCCTACCAATCTACTCCTTGTCCCATGCTGGTAGGTATCGGAAGATTGTACCACAAGGATCCAAGTGGGCGGAGCCGGGATGAAATTAGCGGCACAACTTACCGTTCAAGCCTTGTCTCACTGATTCTTCCTCCCTTAAATAGCTAGCTACTATTTATGTCTTGCTTGGTGGTTGTGATTTTTTGGATACTGCGTGAAAAGTAGAAACCAACAGCCTTCCAACTCGGATGTTCTCGAGCATAAAATCCCTGAATGTTGTACTGCATTGGTAATCTTCTGCATGCTAATATTCTATCTGTCTAATTCTCTTTTTTTTGGCGGTACCTCAATTGCTTACATTATGTGATTTTAGCTAGTAAGTACGATGTAAATAAACTTAACGGAATTACCGGTTGACTAGGTGAATTCGGAGTGTATCTATCTTGCGAGCGAGATGGAATCAGGAAATGGATTAGTCCCGCCGCTAAAACCTTGACAGGAGTGGATAACGAGAGAGTGATGAACAGTGAACACAGAATGACTTGAGATTATTGGATCCAATCATTACGACGTAAAATAATGCAGTCACTGCGGGTGCAATTGAAGTGTATATTAGGTAGGTCGGTACCTTGGTATGCACAGATAATATGTGTGACCCTTACCGAAAAATTAATGCTGTTCTTGAGCGCAGAGCTCAGGTGTAATTAAGGAGACACCTATTCAGTACCCAGGACGTCGGTGATATAGTTGATAGGTGGTATGTGTGTACCCTCGCAATACTCCATAGATACTAAGATGAATGAAGAAATGATATCATACTCGAGTATATCGATGACATCCCCGTTGCAGCTTGCACCGGGAGACAAAATGCTCAATAGGTTCAGAATATGTACTGTTACAGCCAATAACTGCGGATGACAGACTAATTCATCAATTATCTGGTTTTATCCAGAAATCTTGTTGTGATTCTGTGAGATGATGAACTATTCACAGAAACAGAGTGAGTGAGTTCCATTCATCCTCCTCTCATCTCTCCCATGTGTTTCTCTCCATTGAGGCTGCTGCACATGTTGTAAAACACACATATATATGTGTACATATACATTTTACACACATATATACATATACACACACATACACACCAGATCCTCATTCCCGGAAGATTCTTATCGATTTTCAATTCGATATCATTTCCGTCTTGGAACGTAAGACTAACATGATTGGATATTGGTGAACCCTCTAGAATGTTTCGCAGTGGTCCCATTGCGATGGTTCAGTAGTTTAGTGGATCGAGAATAACACAAGAGTTTGGTGATTCTATAAAATGTGGGAGCACAAGGGCTCGACTTTCCGTTTTTACATCTGTACATCTTTGCATGATCCTTTCAAGCATAATCCTTTTTCGTGTGGAATTTATCCGGTACTAATGAAGCTAGCATGTGCCATTTTTAAGGTTTTCACTGACTCGACGACAAGCTTACAGGTTATACCATTAGAATATGTAGCTAGAGAGCCAGGCAGATTTATATCAGCAACGCAACATATAATAATAGATGCTGAGACTCAACTTCTGTATCTATCTAGTCTTCATCTAGTATGCTTTTTGTTATCTTCAAGTACATTATCCGTATTATCCATATCTTTGCCGATTTAATTTCATTCTAGATGAAGAAGACATCGTTGGCTTTCTCTCCCGGTCTATCTACTCTGGCTATGTTTTCCCAGAATAAACCTGGTCAATATCATTTGAAACTTTGAAAGAGATGGTCATCCCACTCTTGTGCCTTAGATGTCAAGACATACCTAGGTAGCATCTCCAACCAAATTATGAGGTTTTAATGATCATGTATTTCCGCCCCTTTCGGACCAATGGCAGTACCCACCTAGAAAACACCGTTTCTTTTTTCGATCGTTCCTCAAGACTAACGCTCTCTGGACCAACAGTCAAACCCCCAAGTCACCAAGAGCTTTACTCAATCTTCACATTTGCCTTTTTCGACGTCGTGCTGACCATACCCTCCACTTGTACCTGAACCGAACAAAAAGCATTTCTGGAAATAGATGCGAGTGACCATGAGAATCCTTGAAATGAAATTTAATATATCGCGATTCTATCATAGTTCAAAGCTCGAATCTTATCAGGTCTCCTTGTGCTAATTCGTTGCATCTACCATCGGCACTAACATTCACATTTCACCTGCACCTCTGCGTCACGCCGTACATCGCATTGCGCGCTACTTTCCAATACCAACAGCTGTCAGCGCTTACAACTTACAAGGAAAAGTAGCAAATCATCTTTGACCAACATAAGCAAACTCTTCTTACCGCTATTTCACAGAGAAAAGGAACTCTATCGAATTCCAGCAGTCTGGTTACCCCCTGCGGACGTTTCATTCATGGCCAAAAAATTCCTGGATGAATTTCACAATAGCTGGTCGGTGTAAGCCTCATTTCCACGCTTTCGAAAGCTGAAATGTGGTGAAGATAACACGGAATACGATGGATCTCTTTGATGCGAGTAATGCATGCCAAAAGTGCGGGAACCCGTGGAGAAGGGACACATTTTGATGTCAAGATGACAATAAACCCCCTCAGAAAAGTCGATCACAAGTAAGATTTTTACTATCATATTACAATTAAGATTTTTACTATCATATCACACCGCTCAAGCTTCAACAAAAGCAATATTGCACATCTTTCCAGTTATACCATGTTTCAAAACCTATACTCGGGCGTTTATTCTTTACATCACGTCGTATCTCGTCGTGTAGCCCCTAAAGCGGGCTTCGGTTGTCCATTCTTAACTACCACTCTTGAGGCTCGCTTTCATAGGATAGATACAATGTATCATACAGCAAGGAATAGTAGCACGCTATCGTAAAATACACGTATATACATGAAAGATTAATTTCGCTATATGAATCTAAAGTACCTACTTTTTCGCCAGGACTCCTAATAATATCCGAACTATCAACGACCAGACCCATCTTGGTCTTTCCCTTCCCTCTCCTTCCTCCCACTTTCCTTCTCAAGAATAGTGGGAATTTATGTAAATCAAATAATCTCCACTTTTCGAGACGACCCGACAGTTTGGTAACAGCTAATGTGGAGGATCCTGCGGTACAGGGTTAATGTGTTTGAAAGTAGTCACATGGGCCACCCACCGTCACTTACTTATTATCACCCACCCACCTTTTTGGAGCGAGGCGCCTTATCCGATATAGTCATATATGTCATGATGTTCCATATATTAAAGGGAGATAGACGACCCGACGACTAGAAAGAGATTCCGTCCGAGGTACCAAAATCCTAGCCGGACTGATGATCTCGCTGACCTGGATGTAGGCAGCTCTAACAAAATTTGAAGGATCAACCGAACTCTTGGTTATCAAATCCTTGTCTTAATTCAAGTCAATCCAGTCCACGATTCTCTACTCAGCTTGTCATCGCTTGACAACACCATCCAATCAATCCACAACACTTGACTTCCTACCACCAAAAAGCTCCAAATTTTAACCATTATTTCGGGCCTGGAAACGTGTCATGGGTAATTATACGTGTTGAGAGTTTGAGAATCCACACTGAGGAGAAAAAGAACCAAAGGAATCATGAAATTTGACCACTGGATCATTCTGCAACATAGTACACCATCCTGTCAAACGTCACAATCAGTGTCTCCAAAGCAATCATGTCTGTTTGGATACAGACGAATAATGCCCGCCCCTACCACCAATCTATTTTATAAGGTGCAAGCTATTTCGTCTCAGGATGTCGTTGTTTGGAAAAGCTTTGAATCATAATCAATTCTGGAAGAAGATGGACTCAAACGCAGCAGGGATGTAATATTCAAAGACCATGGAGCTGGGTTTGTATTCCGTCGAACAACGCTTGTGGCTAATGAGCATAACACAAAGGGAATAGTTGAGATCCGACAACAATCCCAATTGCTCGATTTGATGTCTCAGAATATATCGCACAAATTTTGTGTCAGGGGCGTTGATCACATTCTTTCTTTTTCTCTTGAATCATTCCCCACAACTATATTGTCTCAAGCGACAGCTCTAGAACATGATGTAATATAACTGAAACCGGACATACTCGACTGTAAGGCTGGGAGAGTATCATATCTAGTCTTTTTCT